GGCATAACTCACTAATATTCTAACAGAGGAAAAGAAGATTCAATATTTCCTTATGTAGGACCAACTCCACAAAAAGGAGAAAGACACATTCAGCTTCCAGAGGTGCCTGCCAGCTCAGCATTCTATGCACTCTTTTGTCTTTTTCAATTTCTACTGTTTATTCCCACTGCCAAAGCTGATGTGCTCATAACTGTCTTCAAACAAAACAGATAACAAGAGACAAGCACTCTAGTAGGAAACAGAGCAATGACAAAAACATTGGAGACATATAAAATCTAGAACTCTATAAACCTCTTTAGTCCAGATGACATAAGGCAGCCAGCCACCATTTCTACCCTGGTAATCCCAATTGTACAGGCAGAGGGTTGTTTGTGGTTGTTGTTCTTTTACCATATGTAGCATTCTTTTATCTATGTGATACCATTCTCTTTACTATATTTTTAATGGCAAAACCTAATTGGAAAAAAGCCACAGAAGTGCCATCAGGTCATTAAAGTCAGGTGACTAATAGGGAACAGTTACAAGAATGAATTCACAATTAAATGAGAATAGCTGGAAGACATTTCCAGTGCATGAAGCATAACCTATTAGTCCTCTTCTGCACAAACAACTTTCAGTCTAAGTTTTAATATAGGTTTAGTTTTTTGCTGTTATTGTCCAGTTAAATAGATTTCAGTCTAGTTAATTATCCTGTTTACATAAATTTAGTGTTTACATCATTTTTTAAGCTTAAGCCAAGGAAAAAGATTTTTTTTTTAAATATATTTTTTTATTGATTTTGTACAGAGGGGAAGGGAGAGAGATAGAGAGTTAGAAACATCGATGAGAGAGAGTCATCAACCAGCTGCCTCTTGCACACCCCCTACTGGGGATATGCCCGCAACCAAGGTACATGCCCTTGACCGGAATCGAACCCGGGACCTTTCAGTCCCCAAGCCGACGCTCTATCCATTGAGCCAAACCGGTCTCGGCGGAAAAAGATTTTTTAAGCTCAGGATTCATAGCTAATGTCATCTATATTAGATCACATAGACAAAGGAAGTACTTATTTTCTACAAAGCTCGATTATGCAACTAAAACTTCAAATAATTTCAAGAGAAACAAATCAAGACAATTTTTGGGGGGGAAATATGTGGCTTTTACATGCAATCCCTTTTGCTTAAAAAATAAACTATTTTAGCCGAAACCAGTTTGGTTCAGTGGATAGAGCGTCGGCCTGCAGACTGCAGGGTCCCAGATTCGATTCCAGTCAAGGACATGTACATTGGTTGCAGGCACATCCCCCGTAGAGGGTGTGCAGGAGGCAGCTGATTGATGTCTCTCTCTCATCAATGTTTCTAGCTCTCCATCCCTCTCCCTTCCTCTCTGTAAAATATCAATAAAATATATTTTTAAAAATAAATAAATAAACTATTTTATATCAAACTAGAGGGCTGGTGCATGAAATTCATGCACAGTGGGAGGTCAGGGCTCCCTCAGTCCAGCCTGCACTCTCTCCAATCCCTTGGGGGATTTCCAACTGCCAGCTCAATACATTATGCAAAGGAACTTGGCCTTGGCAGCTTAGTGGGACCTAACAGCATTCAATGTCTTCAGTAATGTCTGACAGTTTTTCTGAGAGTTCAATGTCAATCCAAATAGATCAATCAACACTATTTCTGACACCCTTCAGTAACTATCCAAAGCCCTTCAAAGAAGACTTTTGTGCCCTCCCCCAAAGTTGCCTATAAAGGAATATTAGCATAAATAAGAATGCAAAATTAGATCAATCTCATAGTTACAACAGAAATATATGGCTGGGGGAAAAGGGAGGGAGGAATCACATTGATCTAAAAATGTGACCAAAACTGTAACTCTAGACCCCTCCCAGAAAAGTCAGAATATTATCATAAGAGAATCATGACAATTAAAGCAAAGCTATTTCTTAATTTATTTTCTAAAAGGATATGGACATCTTTCCAGAAAGGCAACCTGTTTTTATTTTCATATAGGGAATTTAAAATAGGAATTTACCTGTTGACTTAGGCAAGTCCTGTTTTTTAACCACATGGTATCAATTTACGTGATATATCATTAATCCTGACATGACTGCCATGTTAGGTCACATCCCTTCAAAGAAATATGGGGCCTTACATTCAGAATGTGAAACAGAGCTGCAGTTTAAAAATCCCGTTTTTAAGAGATAAAAGCTGAAATGACCTATACATTTCTCTCCAGGGTTTACACAATACTCCGGGCATGGTAATTACCACAAAGCAACTGGGATTTGTGAGACATACTTGCAGCCTGCATCCTACTGTTCCTGTCTGTGGACTTTATCACCTCAGCCCGTCCTCCCAACAGGCGGGAGGTCAGTCTTTGGGGGCCTGCTTCTATGACCCCCTGGGCCTCAGGCTTCCTCTGGCCACCACTCCTAAGGTCTACTCCCTATCATACAGGACTCCCACTTGTGTGCATTGCGCTAGTTTTGAAAATATTAAGAGAAGTGCAGGGTGACCGTGAAATTCCACAACAAGTGTCTGTCTGGCTCCAGGTGGTCCAGGGCTGGGCTCTACCTTCCCAGACCCGCCCCACACCTCAGGTGGTGCCCCGCCCAGCAGGGACTTCCAGGTCTACAGCCTCCAAGGGCCACGCCCCTCCCTGTCTCCCACACTAAACCTTGCTGCCTGCAGTAGGTTTTGCCCCCACCCACCCCACCACACCGCAACCCAGCCCTCCCCACCCCAAGCGCAGCCCAGTGACACCTGGAAGCCACAGGAGAGTCACCTGAAGTCTCGGTCTGTCCCTGCACCACAGGGACTGCCCTGGCCCACGCACCCGCCTCACCCACCTCAGCGTGGACTACGCCGGACCCCACCTGCCTGGACCCTGCAGTCTGAGGACGTCGGACCCCGCCTGCCTAGGACCCTGCAGTCTGAGGACGTCGGACCCCTCCTGCCTAGGACCCTGCAGTCTGAGGACGTCGGACCCCGCCTGCCTTGGACCCTGCAGTCTGAGGACGCCGGACCCCGCCTGCCTAGGACCCTGCAGTCTGAGGACGTCGGACCCCTCCTGCCTAGGACCCTGCAGTCTGAGGACGTCGGACCCCGCCTGCCTAGGACCCTGCAGTCTGAGGACGTCGGACCCCGCCTGCCTAGGACCCTGCAGTCTGAGGACGTCGGACCCCGCCTGCCTAGGACCCTGCAGTCTGAGGACGCCGGATCCCGCCTGCCTAGGAACCCGCAGTCTGCAGACAGACAGCTGGGCGAGGCAAGTGGGGAGGCAGCCAGTGGTGGGCTGGGGAGTCAGCAGTTCCTGGTGAAGGCGGCCTGTGGAGCCTGCTCCCCGCTGCCCCACCCCCCACTGTGGGTGCCGCCAAATAAGTGAGAGTGTGGTAGTCAATTTGCATATTACTCCTTTATTATATAGGATTTACAAAGACAAATAATATTACTTCCTTAAGAGAAATCTACAAATGCAGTAGTAAGATAAAGTTATGCTTTTAGAATATAATTAAATGTATAATATTTTTAAAACTCTGGGATGACATTTTTTTCTCCTAATCTTGTAATAAAAATGGTCATATTTACATATTTAGCTAACTGTACCTTCCCTCCTTGCTTAACAGAACCTCGATTGCATTCAATGATGAGTAGCTATATATACTTCAGGGAAGAGAATTGACTACACCTCACACAAGCTCAACCAGCCAAACTCTAAACCAAGGTTCTCTTACTCCCTTTGATTTAGAACTCAACAGGCAAGTAATGCAAGTCCCCACATCATAAAAAGCACTATTCCTCTTCCTCTGTGCACGGATTTGATGGTTGGGTCTTTGGCAGGAAAGAACAAGCTTGCAAGCACAGCAAGGAGCCCTGTGAAGGCTCCTGAAGTGATGGAGAATTCAGATTCACAGTGAGGTCACTGAGGTGCAAATGAACATCCTCACTCTCCACTACCACTCTGCCTCCCCCTTCCTTTCCTTCAGGCTTCTTATCAATGAGTAATGAATGTTTCCTTATTATACAATCTAGATTTTCTGTTATCAGCAGACAATTTTAACCAGGCATGATTCCAGCTCCTTCACAGGTATTATATTACAGCAACCATCTGAGGAAGGTTCTATGATTATCCCCATTTGATAAATGAGTAAACTAAGGTATGGACTAATTTAACATTATGCCAGAACCTCATGTTAAATCTCATATATAGTAAAAAGCTAATAATCAGCAGGTCTGACTCCAGGCCCATGCTAAATAATCTGAGTCTTAAAAACATTTTCTTTTAAGTGATAATGAAATAATAATACCAATTAGTTTAAAATCTGTATTATTTTGAAAAAACTATGTTTTACCTAAATAGAATTTGCATGATTTTCTGATTATCCAAAATTATTTCAACCACACAATGTTATAGTGTGCTAATGTTTTCTTAGGATAAAAATCAGTACATGTCCTTTACCATCAGTGGTATCAATTCAAACTGTTCTTTTTAATAGTTTCATATTAGAACATGCTACATTCAAAAAATATTTTAGGTTTATCCTATAAAACATAGTCTTTTTATTAAATATATATTTTATTGATTTTTTACAGAGAAGAAGGGAGAGAAATACAGAGCTAGAAACATCGATGAGAGAGAAACATCGACCAGCTGCCTCTTGCACACCCCCTACCGGGGATGTGCCCGCAACCAAGGTACATGCCCTTGACCGGAATCGAACCCGGGACCTTTCAGTCCTCAGACCAACGCTCTACCACTGAGCCAAACCGGTTTCGGCTAAAACATAGTCTTAATTAAAACTATCAGTATCACAAGTATTGATAACTCCTTATGAGAAACCTGTGCTCAGGAACCACCACAGAGTCATTTTATATTAATGTTAGACAAACTATAACATACAGCCCGTTACTTAACCAAATTCTGTTTGAATAAATTACCTTTAACCCTCATTGAAATGGAAGAAAATATATCTTGGTATATGGGTTACCAAAAATGTAGAAAAGGATTACTTATGTTACCTGTTCTTGCTTCTCCAGCCATTTGTCCACCATGGGGTGACTAGCACTCAGAGATGAGCGGGCGTTATCTCGCTGAAATTGGTTAGACCAGTGACTTGTATCTCGTGGGAGGCTTCTGTAATTTTCATCTTTCTATTCAAAAAGAAACAAAAAGTTGTGTTGTAAAAAACAGATTCTGCAAATTAATGATTCACCTGGTTTGCACTTGCTCCCACATCAACCTCCCCAAGCCAAGTATATGTACAAAAAAACAAAAAAACTTTCTATATAAAACTTTTACTGTTTTTATTCTCTTCTTCTTTCCAATCTCATAATATTTTGAGATATTTTCTATAGTTTACCAAAAAGGTTTACTAGTAAAATAAGAAAGACTAATGAATTTGGCTCCCTATTTAGATCTTTATAGTTTTATGACTTTGAGCAAGAAATGTAAGACCCTTGTAATGTTCACAAGCTATTTGTAAGCATTATTTCAGATATCAAGTAAAGAAACAAATTAGTCTATCCCAATGCATGGTACATAATCTTATATAATAAAAGCCTAATATGCAAATTGTCCTCTCTGGTAGTCATTCAATGGGGAGTTGGAATGCTTGCTATGATGTGTGCTGACCACCAGGGGACAGAGCAGAACATAATAGGCGTTGGTGTCACGGTGCTGGCAGCTGGCAGCAGTGGAGGTGCTGCCAGGCCCATTGGACCCTGATGACAGTGGGACCCTGCAGACTGTGACCATGTGTGTGTGTGTGTGTGTGTGTGTGTGTGTGTGTGTGTGTGTGTGTGTGTGTGTGGGAGGGGGGGAAAGGGGGGAGGTGGGAGAGGACACAGACCACCACCCGGATCCCAGTCACTTAGCCTGGCGGAAGGACAGGAGGAAGAGTGGCCCCAATCGATCGCCCTGCAGGCAGGAATGTGGAGCAGGTAAGAGGGCAGTGCTAGGTCAAGGAAGGGTGCCAGGCAGGGGGTACGAGGCTGGGGGTACGAGCTGGGGCCCGAACTCCACAGGCCACCCCAAGGGACCCCACCCATTCAAGAATTCATGCATTGGGCCTCTAATAGAGCATAATTGTCCACAGGGATATGACAGTGATATCTTTAAGCTGTTAGAGACCAAAGTTGTTTCTACTGCTAGAGTGATAACTTGAATCTTTAATACTCTTCTGTGACAATGCAAGACTGTCAGTTTCAATTTGATTTATGATATTCATCCTCTGTATCCATAAAACCTGACCAAATGTGATGCAACCTGAAAAATTGATTGTGTAAGGGAATAGTATTGTGAGAATAAACAAATCATCTTTCTATCAAAGAACAGTTTAGACAGCCACCATTTTGGACGGCATGACTTGGAAGCTGCCATGTTGACTGCATAGCTTGTAGCTCCCATGGGGACCGCCATCTTGAAACAGCAAAGGCCAACCTCTCCCTTTGAATTAGCCAATTGCAAAAGACTGTGCACCTGAGCTCCAATCAAGAGCAAGGGACAGGTCATGCGCATGAGGAATTATAAAGCTGAGCAGACCACCTGGCTCAGAGTGCACGTGCCCCCAGGCCATGTGTGTACACCCTTCTACATACAAGTGAAGATGTTTGCCTAATTGCCTGGCTCCCAATTATGTTTTTTGTTCTACCAGGACTCCTGAATTGGGGGGCTCACCATATTTCTTACAGTATTAAACATTTGATTTCCAAAAAAGAAAACACACACACACACACATACACACACACACACACACACAAACTAGTCAGTTAATAAATACAGTGGGACCTCAATTCTCAAACTTAATTTGTTCTGAAAGGCTGTTTGAGAAGTAATCTGTTAAATACACACACACACACACACACACACACACACACACACACACAAAATGATTGTTTCCTCATTAAAAATAATGTAAATTGAATTAATCTGTTCCCTATTTTAACTTTCGTTATATACAGTACATGTCTAACGCACAGTTTGAACTATAAACAAACACTTCTTTTCTTCAATATATCGAACCACTCCCTAGTAGTCTTAAACAAGTCACCATTAGTGCTCCTTCCAGAAGCACAACATCTTCCCTTTTTTTTTTATATCACTGCCTCCAAAATGCTGTCATTGGCTAACTGTTTTTCCTTTATCTAAATCAACAGTTTTTCTACCTCTTCTATTCCCACCCTTAGCAACATCAACACACTTGATGGCCTCTTTATGTTTTAAAATTGTGCTTATCATCTTTTTCACAAGCTACAAAAGAAAAAAACAAACAAAACAAAAACAGGAAAAATATTCACAGCACAATTTCCTGAGATATTAACAACCTTAGATTAAGTGACTGGCATTTTTCTACTTTATTTGTTGCGTGAGAGAAGCTTTCCCTTATGTTCGTGTGACAGCATGAAAGGGTTAAAATGTCAAGAGTAACCATAGGCTATTAGATGGTTGATTTAAACCACAGCTTAAATAATTTGCTTTGGCTATCAGGCTATAAAACTTAATTTTAATGCTCTAAAAAGAAATAAGAAGACTAATATAAGGTAGGAAATACAAACATTTTAGTTCAATAACTAAATCTATATATCTCCTACATTAACAAATTAGAAATGTTAACCTACCTTCATCTCACTTACATCAATACTCCACTTAAAAAGAAGTACTAAAACATTCTCCTTAACAACTTTGTTAAGATGTATCTATAGCTGAAATCGGTTTGGCTCAGTGGATAGAGCGTCGGCCTGCGGACTGAAAGGTCCCAGGTTCGATTCCGGTCAAGGGCATGTGCCTTGGTTGTGGGCACATCCCCAGTAGGGGGTGTGCAGGAGGCAGCTGATTGATGATTCTCTCTCATGGAAGTTTCTAACTCTCTATCCCTCTCTCTTTCTCTCTGTAAAAAAATCAACAAAATATATATATTTTTTAAATGTATCTATACATCTTACATACATGACTGATTCTTATTCTTCATTACTTAAATCATGAACCGTGAATATAAACATAGAAAAAAGTGTGATATAAAAGGTTTGCATTATATAGATCTTAGCAACAGTTTAGGATATTGTTTTTGTTCCTTCATAAGTCCCTTAAGATAATAAAACTTAAAAATTAATTTATAAGTCTTGGATCTATGACAATACTGAGAAATGAAATACTTTTAATCTATACATATTAATCAATGTAAACTTTAGCATGACATTTTTAAAGTTTTTTGAATTAACCTACAGAAAATAAACTTTTTTTTTTTTTTGCTAATCCTCACTCAAAGATATTTTTCCACTGATTTTTAAAGAGAGAGGGAGGGAGGAAGGGAAGGATGGAGAGAGAGAAACATACATATGAGAGAGACACATTGATTGGTTGCCTCCCACAGGTACCCTGACCAGGACCAGGGATCAAGCCTGCAACCTAAATGCGTGCTCTTGACCAGAATCGAACCCAGGACCCTTCGGTCCATAGGCCAATGCTCTATCCATTAAACAAAGCTGGCTGGGGCCAGAAAATGAACTTTTTAAAAAGTAATAGCAGCATTAAACATTAGAAGCAAGTACTTTTTACTAGAAAATCTTGGTACATTTCTGGTCAGAGCAGCTCAAAAAAGCTGTGACAGAGTATAATCCTGAGTGCAAAAGAATGCTGGTAGGAGTTAGATGCTGCTCCAGGCCCAGAGACTGGGGACTGACCTTGCCTGTAAGAACATAGAAAGGGTAAATAAACAGAGGGCAGAGACGAAGTCCAAAAAAAGAATGAAGCAAATAAAAATACTAAAGCCCATGTATTCCTAAATACTAAGAACCCCTCCTTAAAATTTGAACATGTTAACTTCAAAACAAAGCAAAACTATCAGTTTCACAGGATAGTCCATATTGATGAGAAATTCAAATAAGTCATAAATAGCTCATAAAGTTACTAATGATAGCACCTTAAATGTCCAGGAAGACAAGAGGAGTTGGAAGTATAGAGAAACACAAGTAGAATTTTTATGTCAAGGATTTTTGGGCTAAATACACATTAAAGAGAAAAATGTATTTTAAAAAAAAGTATTTAAAAATACTCTTACTTTGAATAGAAACCATATTTCAGAGAAGCCAAAAATGTCAGTGGAAGAAGGAAAAAAGCTTGTCTTGTCAGAAAAATGCCAATTAGTGAAAGTAAAATAATAAAATTACAAAAATCACAATTTTTAACTCCTAATGAAATAACTCATTCATTCAAAGATAATCAATGGATGCAAAAACTGTTAGGTAAAAAGTGAACACTGATCTGGATGTGTGCACGGTGACAAAATACCACTTACAAAGAGAAATATATATATATTTAAAATAAAGAGACTAGATGCCACAAACTGCTTCCTATTCTTGGTGTCGAGAACACAGTATGCTACTAGTACTTCCATTACATTCCTTTTGATTCTCTGTCATTCTTGCTCTTCCTTTAAATGACTCTTATTGACTCTTACAATAAATAGCTTACTAATGCCTCCCCAGACAAAAGTGTACAATATCAACACCTCCTCCCTAACAACTTCCAGGCAAAGGTCACCAACTCTAAAGGTTTTTCTGAATTCATGATCCAAATTTCCAATATGATGTCCCAAAGATACATCAAAATCAACAGATTCAAAATGAAACTCATCTACCAATGAAAAATATTCATAATCCTCTTCAACAATTTCCTTCCTCTCTAATCCTTACAATTGCTAAATCTTGGTAATCTCTGTTCTTTGCCAAGATTTTACAGTTAGCCCATCACCATTCAGGATCACCTTCTCTCCTATCTGAAATTACTATAGCCTTTGAGCTGGACACTGGCTAAGCCTTATGCTCTCTTACAATGTACCATGCACTGTCCCACAGAGACTGTTTCTAAAGGTATGCTAGGTCAAGTCACACCTAGGACAAGCACTGTAAGTTACCAGAGGAACCCCAGGCAAGTGTGCTTGACCTTCAATCATCTTTCTTAACCTAGACTCTCAAGAACATTTATTCTGTAAAAAAACAAACACTTATCAACCCCTAGTACAAAGTCTACCTTTTCTAAGAAGCACTCCATGATTATCAATAGAACTGGTAATGTCATGTTTCTTATTAACACTATATTCTAATTTTACTTCTAATTATAGTTCTAAGTTATAATTTATTTAATTTTTTAAATTACTATTTCCACTATTACAGTGAAACCTAGGCAAAATATCAGCATGCATCTTTCCACTCAAACACTTAGCTCAGTGGCCTACACCAACTCAGATGGCTGTCCTTAAATACAATGTTTTCTTATTTCAGATGGTTTCATAATACTAACACTTTGAAAGAATACTTCTATAAGTTCTTTAAAAAATTGATAATGAAATGCCTTAAAAGACATAAACTTCAGTGAAAATGTAGTAAAAGAATTTTCAGATTTACCCTAAAATATGTAAACCATTGTTATGTGCCTGTTTTAAATGAATGTCATACCTCCAGTATTCAATGTCTGTGGAAAATGCAATTATTTCCAAATCATCTTAAAAGCAGTGTGGAATATCTCCAGTTACATTAACTATGACATGTAATTCATGCAGCAGACAACTACAGAGTAATCAGATAAATGTTGAAGTCCACATGAAACATTCACAGTTTTATATTTTTAGAATCAACTCAGAGAAGTTACTTGGTAAGAAAATAAAACTGACATTAAGCCATGATAACAAAAATGTTTTCCTAATTTTCCTTGTGATGGTAAAGTCAATAATGAATTCATATATTAATTTATTTGTGATGTGTGGGGGGGAAATTGCAGTAGTCTTCATTCATTTTTAGGCAAATAAAGAATTTATAAAATATATTATTAATCACTATGCAACACATATATTACTTTGTTGATAACACCATGCAGGTATTACTAGCCAGCCATGATCTTGCTGACAATTCTGTCTGAAGTTTGGATCACATACATACAAAGAATATAGTCCTATACTGGTAAAGTCATGATACTGTCTGTACAATGTGAGTGCATCACTCACATCTTAACTTTCCAAACATTTTCTATTTCACAATATATGCTTGGAAATTAACTGTTTCTGATTGAAATGTACATAGTATATTCTATTTTCAATCTGGAAACAATTATTTTGGTGTAAATGATTTTTTAAATATGGTAGTCTTAACTATGAATATGTAAGATTATCTATGTTATTCAATAATCAAACTAGAGTCAAGTATTTTTAAAAAGTGGACACTCCTAGCCAGAATGGCTAAGTGGATAGAGGGTCAACCTGTGGACTGAAAGGTCCCGGGTTGGAGTCCAGTCAAGGGCATGTACCTCATTAGTAGGCTCCTTCCAAGCCTGGGCTTTAGTCTGGGCACATGCAGAAGGCAACCAATCCATGTGTTTCTCTCACATCAATATTTCTCTCTGTTTTCCCTCTCTCTTCCACCCTCTAAAATCAATGGGAAAATATCCTTGGGTGAGAATTTTTAAAAAAGAAAAAATTCAACAGTTTTTAAGTTAAATGTATTTGCAAAACTTTATTACCTAAAGAAGAGAAAACCAAATAAACACAAATTTTTGTCATCAATATTTTTTTTTTAAATCTTCATTAAAAGTTTTACATATGTCTCCTTTTCCTTCCCATTGACCTATTCTAGTTATCCCTGATACCCAGCCTAAGTTCTGTCATCTGAGTCCATGGCTACTGTGCTTCTCTGCTACAACTGAAGCTGAACCACACGCCCAAGATATTAAATGAGTTATGAAGAAAAAAATGATTACACTCAACAACTTCTGACCCATTACACTTCAACTACTTTAAAAGCTATTTATCCCTAGCTGGTTTGGCTCAGTAAACAGATCATTGACCTGTGGACTGAAGGGTCCCTGGTTTGATTCCTGTCAAGGTCACATGCCTGGGTTGCAGGCTTGATCCCCAGTAGGGAGAATGCAGGAGGAAGCCAATCAGAGATTCTCTTTCATCATTGACGTTTCTACCTCTCCCCCAACCCCCTTCCACTCTAAATTCAATAAAATAATGATAATAATAATTTTTAAAACCCTATTTTAAAAATAATGAATTTTTTCCCCACCACCATTTATTCCCCCTAGGCCCTCTTCCACCTCCTCAACCACCACACTGTTGTTTGTGTCCATGAGTGCTTTCTCTTTCTTTCTTTTCTGCTCCCCACCCCCACCTCAATCACTTCACCTCTTCGACTTTATACATTTATGAATATCCATAGAAATTAGATCTATTCTGAACACAAGTTAAATATCATGAGGTCTATTTATAAACTGGATTCTGCATGTTTCTACTACATGATAAAGCATTCTAAAATTTCAAGCTAATACTCCAAATGAGACCAGTTGTATTTGAAATACTCCAAATTCCTCATCAAATATATAATAAACTATTTCAGAAGAATGGGCCTTACAGTTAAAACCATAATCCAAAAAAATCAGAGACTTCAGTAAACTTTTTTTTCTTGGTAGATGCTTTGCAGTTTATAGTCATGTATTACATAATTGTTTTCTTACTTCAACTAATACAAAGTTTGTAGAAATGCAAAACCAAATTAAAAGAAAAAATTTTAAATGGGTGTTTTCATATAGATGCAACAAATAAAGAAAACTTCAAGCCACATTCATTTTTATATTAACATGTAATTAGTATAGTTCCACATTTCTCAATACACACACACACACACACATATACACATACACACAATACATAACTGCTACTATTGAAAAATATTTATTAATTCACTCAGTAGATTTTTACTGAACATTATTCAATAGGTTCAATACGGAAAATGACTAACAGGTTAAAGCTCATTAGGTAAAGGGTTATAAGTATAACAGAATAAGATGATAAGCATTCTGTAGAAATATATGACAAAGAACATTAACAAACAAATTAGAAAAAATAAACAAAACAGACTAAAAAATTAGGCCAGGACTAAAATAAATTAGGTCAAAAAATAAATTTTCATTTTGTAGACTAGCAGTGTTCTCAAACTGTTCTTCTGCAGACCACTAGTCGTCCATGAGGTTTGAAAGGTTGGCGACCACTGGACTAAAGAACACTTCCATTTTGGAGGAAAATAAAGTTATCAATTGTGTAGTTAGAATAAATGACCATAGAGAACATTTTCATCCTTCAAAATCGATAATGCTATAATTTCTTTAATGTATCTTGTGTCCCAATATGAGTATCTGTTTATACATGTGTAAAATGTACCTGTAAAACATGCAAAAAGCTAACAAGGGCAATGCCCATAAAGAAAAGAGAGGTGAGACAGGAAACAAGGTAGGGACTTTACTTGCACATACTTGATACTTCATATCAGAAAGTTTTCATTTTAATCCTGTGAATATATTATCTATTCAAAATTGGATAAATAAATGTACATCATATATAGCACAAATGTTATCATAAAATGCAAGGGCAATATAAAATAGGAAGCTATCTGAACTTAGAGGTGAAAGTTCATTAAGCACATACACTGACTATCGTGAAGAAACTAAGAAGACAAAATAGAAGCGGTTACCTTCCTGTCACAGGTTTTAGGGCTACCAGCAGTGTTTGGCTTAAGGAAGCCAGCAGTTGTTGACCAGCGTGTGGGGTTTTTTCGTGAAGGCTCTTCAGAGGAAAAATTACTGTCACTGACAGAAGCTGAGAGGCCAGTTAAAGCTGGGTCACTGCTTCGTCGGACATGAAGAGGCATATCTACAAATACAAAACAGCGTTTTTCTTAAAAAGGGTAACTCAAGACAGGAAACTACATGTTAAAAGTAGTTAATTCCCAAAGATTAAAGAGCAAAATAACAATTTAAGATGGATCAGTATTCTAGACAGAAATTCCATTAGTTCCTTTAAAACAATTTATTGAAAAAGAAATGTGGTATGAGGTAAGACCTGTTCTGAAGTAAAATTGGGCTTGAATTTGTGTTTCGCCACTCATATGGTTCTGGGCAAGTTGCTTATCCAGCCTCTGTCTCTAGTGCATTCATAGGCAAAATACAAAAACAGCAGTATTTCTTTCTGTGAGAACTAAATGATATAAAATGCTTAAAACAGGGCCAGATACGCCGAAACTGGTTTGGCTCAGTGGATAGAGCGTCGGCCTGCGGACTGAAAGGTCCCGGGTTCGATTCCAGTCAAGGGCATGTACCTTGGTTGCGGGCACATCCCCAACTGGGGGTGTGCAAGAGGCAGCTGATCAATGATTCTCTCTCATCAATGTTTCTAACTCTCTATCCCTCTCTTCCTCTCTGTAAAAAAAATCAATAAAATATATTTTTTTTTTAAAAACACAGGGCCAGATACAAAGTGTATACTCAGCAGAGAGTAATAATGACCATTATTGTCATTATTATCTTAATATTTCTAAATAAAATATATATTCTAAAAATAAAGTATAACTAATAAATATAAGCCACAAAACAAATTTCATGTAAATTTAAATCATATCTACTGGATTAAAAATATAAATCTAAACAGTGTTTATCTAGACTATTAAAGAATTCTGTTCAATAAATATTTATTTTGTTCAACAAATTATTATCAGAAAGTTAATCATATTTTGTGTCCTTAACATTAAAAATATTAAAAGTATATGCTAATAAGTATCTGGCATATACACATACAAAATGACATAGAAGACATTTTAATAACTATTTGTATAAGAAAGGAGTTTGCAAATGCTGTAACAAAATCAATTAAGACACCCAGGTTAACATATGTTACCAGTAGCATTAAGAACATTTTGGCAGATATAATCACTGCTATGTAGAGAAAAAATGAGAAAAATGAAAGTATGTAAGTCTATAATATTGACAATCAGACCCAAAAGCCCTACTCATCAACCAAGCAAAATCACTTAAAAACAAGGCAAAAAAAATTAGCTTGATATATGCTAAATCTGTTTTCAAAAACCAGGATTCAGGTTAAATATTTATTAAAAGGTCTCTAAGAAAACAGATTTAGCGGTATTTTAAACTCATCATTTACACTATGAGAAACATTTTTAGAACACTAATGCTTTGGTCAATGATACAAATTCATAGATACTTGAGGATGTTAAAGACAAACTAATTACAGGCACTAAAGGTTATCCTATATAATAAAGATGTGATATGCAAATTGACCATCATGCCCTCGCACAAGATGGCCGGTAGAGGAGGGCAGTTGTGGACAATCAGGCCAGTTGGGGATGACCAGGCCAGCAGGGGAGGGCAGTTGGGGGCGACTGGGTTTGCAGGGGAGGAAGAGCAGTTGGGGGTAATTAGTCCAGCAGGAGGGGCAGTTGGGGGTGAGCAGGCTGGCAGTGGGAATGAGTTGAGGTGATCAGGCCAGCAGGGAGGTAAGTTGGGGGTGAGAAGGCCAGCAGGCAGAGTGTTTAGGAGCGATCAGGCAGGCAGGCAAGTAAGCAGTTAGGAGCCAGCAGTCCCAGATTGCAAGAGGGATGTCTGACTACCAGTTCAGGCCTGGGATTGGGCCTAAACCAGCAATCGGGCATCACCCAAGGGATCCAGATTGGAAAGGATGTAGGCTGGGCTGAGGGACACACACCCCAATGCACAAATTTCATCCACCAGGCCACTAGCGTATAAACTAACAAGAATGTTCCAGAAAACAAGACCCTGTAGCAGATATCTTGAACTTTCTTCTCAGGATCCATTCACACCATAAAAATTACTGAGGACCTCAAAAACTTTTGTTTATGTGGGATATAGTTAAGAACAGTTACCATATTAGAAGTAAAAATGAAAAAAAATATTGAAAAAAATTTTATTAATACATGTTTAAGTTAATAATAAAACCATTACATAACATAAAGGAGAGAATTATATGAAAATTCCATTTTACAAAATAGCAAAATTAGTGGGAGTTTTACACATTGCTTAATCGAAGACATCTGGTTCTCATCTCTGCTTCTGCATTCAATCTGCTGTAATATGACAAAATATTTTTTTAAACTTCAAAAATATTTAACTGGAAGAAGAAACAGCATTTTTAAAAAATTCATTATTTTTTAAAGTATTGCATATAGTATTACCCTGTTTCCCTGAAAATAAGACAGTGTCTTATATTAATTTTTTCTCCCAAAGTTGCGCTAGATCTTATTTTCAGAGGATGTCTTATTTTCAGAGAAACACGGTACATATGTCTCCTTTTTCCCCCACTGACCTCTCTCGTCACTCCCTCTCCACTCCCAGCACATGCTCTCACTGCCCTGGTCTGTGTTCATTGGTTATTCTTATATGTGTGCATACAAGTCCTTTGGAAAATAAACAGCATTTTAATCATTCTTCTAGGTAATTATGAATATTCTTTTTTGATACCACACCAAGCTTAATAAATGAATTTCCCAAAGATTAGCTGCAATGAAAATGTAAACTTTTCATTCTTAGTTACATTAAAATCTATTTGTCTTTTATCCTTTGAATGGATCATAAACCCATGAAAAATTTATAATATTTGTTATTTGAAATATATTAGTAATTGAGTTATGCCGATTTTCCAAGTGCTAATATATTTCCTCATATCAGAAAATTACGTGTGTGAACAAACATCACCACCATTTTCATCAGAAAAGTCACTGAGCATTGGGAAGTTGTCATGTTCACAGCAGGATGTAATTTTTCCCAAATCGAATTTTCACTTGAAAGCTTACTGTTATTTGTGACAACAAATGCTGTCAGTTGTTTGCCTTGTAACTTCATTCGTTTTCTAAATCTTCCAGACACCAACAGCTAAATACCCACAGTTTTTTTTGTCCTTCTTTCAAATAAAAATGGCTACTTCAACTCAAGCCATCACATAAAAGTTTTTCTGAAGAAAAACCACTAATCTTTAAAAGAAACCCTGTGTGTGTTCTGGGTAAACACATATGATGTCACTGCTTTGATATGTCTTATGGGCATGCATTTTACCCATCAGTGCCAGGGCATCACTGACACAGATGACAACCCAGCAAATAACACAAAATTTATCTTAGTAAGTTTATGAAAAAAAAAAAACACCTTTTGCCCTCACTATCCCCTTGACATGGTCTTTGTGACTCACATGACCCATAGACTACCTATGAAGAACCATTGGCTAGACTTGCAACCCTTGCAAGTTCTCTCACCTCTCCAGGCCTCAGTCTCCAAAACTATAAAAACAGAGGCTGGACTGATGGGGTCAGATCTTTTTTATGCAAAAATATGTTATTTCATTTAAGTTTATACACACCTACACCAGTGATCACTTGCCAAGCTTCATCCCAGCAGAACTTATAACACTTAAGGAAAATGTACTTAAAAAATAATAATAAAAGCATTTCAAAGCCTTTTCAGCAACCATTATCAGGTGCCTCAAAACTGGTTAAAGTATTACAAGCAACACCAGAGCTATAGGTAGTGGTGCAGATGCAGCCACAAATGGCATGACGCCTTGTGCCAAGTTGAGCCTGATTTTATAGAAAAAAAATACTATAAACATTGGGCCTTAATCAACAATGAAACATAAAACCCTACTGCCTGGTTCATCCCACAGGTTTCTCAC